GTCTGGTGTGGGCAGGGGGAGGGTCTGGTGTGGACACGAGGAGGGTCTGGCGTGGCACGGGGGATGGGTCTGTTGTGGACAGGGGAGGGTCTGGTGTGGGCAGGGGGAGGGTCTGGTGTGGACACGGGGAGGGTCTGGTGTGGACAGGGGGAGGGTCTGGCATGGACAGGCAGCACGATGGAGGAGAGAATTCTTTCATGTCTTCTTAGGTTCCCTTTCAGTTGAGTTTTTCCCGAAGAGGCACAGGGCTGGGGCTAATAATATTACGTATCCAACAAAAATAAGCAAGGAGATAACCTGGGTCTGAGGGGATGGGAACGTGGGTGTGAGGGGGTGGGAACATGGGTCTACAAAGGTGGGAGCTAATTGTGAGCAAATCTTCTATAGAACAAGGGTTGCAGGTTCTTTCCTCCCCAGACCCTCGACTCCTTAACTCACTGTCACAAGTGCACCCTCCCAGCCCTGGTAATGAACCCTCTGCCCTCTTACTCACCCACAGTGTACTCATCCCTTCACCCCCAGACCACCCCAAGCCACCCAGGTTACAGGTCAACACGGTCATTTACACCTACAGTCTAAGCCAGCAGGAATCTGAAGGAGGAGCTCTTTATCTAACTCAGGGAACCCAGGAAGCCTTTTTAGTCCAAACAAAATCTTAAAACATTTACTTAGCCATTTCTCTACTTTAGTTAATGAAGTATATTTGAACTTTAGTTTGATTATTGAGAAGAATTAGTTCTACTCATTTAAGAGAATGCATACAATGTTTTTTAGCATAAAGACATTTATACAAAGCACATACGTTGACTCAGAGTTTCTCAATCTATGTCCCACTTTGACAAATGGCACAATTTATGAGCTCCCTTAGTGATGCTTTAAACTTCCAGATAAACAGCATAACTAAAACCAGATCAAAGCAGGAGGCAAATCCCCCCATTCCCTACCCCCCTCAAACATCCTCGCCTACTCCTTTGAGAAGTCTCTGCATTGTGTGATTTGACCTCCCTTGCAAACCTGTGGAGTTAGCTGAAGCTGTGTTATCATTTCCATGTCTCAGAAGAAGAGCAAGAACACATCATTTGAGCTGATGAGGGACCCAACACCAGGGCACTGCAGGCGGATAGGACCTAGTTTATAAATTTCTGGTCCCATCTGCTGGAGTTTCTAATAACTGAAGTTGAGTGTTATGGGGTTGAATGAATCTCCCCTACTAAAATTATGAGGTCAATATGAGATGTCTCTTGGAAACACCTTTTCACTTTTAAAATAAAAAATTCCTACACTGACTACTTTTTTCTTACATTCTTTATTTCTCACAAACAATTCAGATCAGTGAAGGAACATGAGTGTTTACATTTTCTATTTGGTATATTTAAGAAACATTCTTTTCAGAAGAAAAGAATTAATCCTTTGCGTTCATAGCCAGCAATCAAGTTAAGTCTAGGAGTCTGAAAATAAGTTACATTAAAGAAGTGGCTTTTTCTTCCCCCAAACAATGATTAGGAGGAGAATCTGTAAACAGGGTTTTTGAGCACATCAAGCAGTGGAGACTCACTGTGATGACCGCACCCATGGAAGCTTCCCGAAGCCCATTCCTCGGGCGTGTAGGAGCTGAATCGTTGT